TTAGGGTTTAGGGTGTAGGGTTTAGGGTTTACCCTTTCAAGCTTGCCCTGAAGGTCCGGGGGTACATCCGGCCTTGCAAGAATCCCCCTCTGGGAAACCTGCATGTTTTGTAGGGGACGCTACAGAACCCAAGACCACCAAGACCCCAAGGCCCCCAGAAGCACCCCTTTCAAGGATTGCAGATTTTTTCACGAAGACGTTGGGCCGTTCAGCAATTGCCTGCCGTCGAGGACCGACACAATAATCGACCCGACGCCAGATGCAAGAACATGTGCAGGAACGTTCGAGACTTCGGTGATGCGCGCTCTTGTGAATCCTCAGGCCCCAAACCCTATAAACGTTCACATCATCCTAAGCCCTACCGCCGAATCGACAAAACAAACAAACCCTGCCGCCCAAAACCCTCAAGCCTTAAACTACTCCCCCGATGAAGCCCCCAATCCTAAACCGAAAGCTGTAAACTCCGAATGTGAAACCCCAACCCCCAATCTGTAACCCACAAGAACCGTACGAAGAGGGTTTTGGGGTTTAGAAGGTTTAGGGTTTAGGGTTTAGGGTTTAGGGGTTCAGCAGGTTTAGGGTTTATAGGGTTTAAAGGGTTTATAGAGGGTTTAGGGGTTTAGGGGGTTTATGGGTTTAGGGGGTTTAGAGGGTTCAGAGGGTTCAGGGGTTTAGAGGGTTAGTGGGGTTTAGAGGGTTTAGAAGGTTCAGGGTTTAGGGTTGTTTCAGAGGGTTTGTAGGTTTTAGAGGGTTTCGGGTTTAGGGGCTTAGGGCTTATAGGGTTGAGAGGGGTTAGAGGGTTTAGAGGGTGTAGAGGGTTTGTAGGGTTCAGGGGTTAGGGTGCAAGGCGACACCCCGAAAGCTGCTTCAAACCTGACCGAGCCGAGGGAGGGGCCGTGTTGAGGCATCGCGACCTCGCCGCCATGACTGCCACGACCTCGCCATGACCAAACCCTAAACCCTAAACCCTAAACCCTTGACCCTAAACCCTAAACCCTAAACCCTAAACCCTGGACCCTGGACCCTTGAGCCTGAAGCTGAATTTGAAGCGTTGAGGGTTTGAGCCCCTTGGGATTTCAAGGGCTTGGGGTCGCAGGATTCGTCTCAGGCTCTCGCGGAATAGGAGGCTTCGGAAAGGGCTGAAGGACCCGGGGCGCGCCGAATCTTCGTGACCTTTACGGTTTCGTTGGGCTCAGGGTTTACATGGGTGGCGGTCAAAAGCATCCCTTTTGGGGTACCCTAAATATTAGGTGCCGTATTATAGTCGGGATCCAAAAAGGGGACCATAATTTTGACAGCCACCCACGTGTAGGGGAGGGTTTAATCGGCTTCAGGATCTCATTTAGCGAAGGGGGCCTGGTGCCTTGCGAAGGGGTTGCCGATGTTGCACCAGGATACCCCATCACTGAGAGGGCCCCAGTTTGAGCTATGAGAGCTCATCCGCAAAAGCCTCTCTGGACTCTTGACTACAAACCCAAACCCTCCTTAACCCACAAGAAAGGCGCCCTAAACCCTGAACACCTCCCCCCCCCTGTAGGTTTCGGGTTTAGGGTTTGGGGTTTGGGGTTTGGGGTTTAGGGTTGAGGGTTGAGGTTTGATAAGCCCAATCAACCTTATGTCGAAGCCCTACAACCGAAACAACAACAACAATAAGAAAGCTTGCCGCTCTAAGCCCAAGCCCTCATGAACACCGCAGTCCTAAACCAAAAGCTGGAAAGCCCAGATTCGAACCCCCACTCCCAATCAACAACCAGAAAAAAACCACACAAACTTTCCAAAAAAACACTCAGCCATTCACGTCGAGCTTGAGACTTGCGCACAGCTCTTAACCTTGCTGCCCTAACCCGCAGCCCCGTCCCAAAACCCCAAATATGCCCCACAAAACCCGCACGAGGCTTCTGAGAAGCACTCAAGCTCGACGCTGAACCGCCCTAGTCTTAGCCCGAATCAAGGACCCCTTGAGACCCCAAACACTAAACTCCGAACTGGAAGACCAAGGACTTTCATGAGAAGATTCTGATTGCGAGGATCGAAAGAAACAGCGACAATCGCAAGTTTGATGAGCGACAAGCTGCACAAAGGAACACCTTTGATGTATCTTCAAGTCAAGTTCCTCGTGGGCAGAACAAAGATTATGAACAGCAGCAGGGAAATTCCTCAGACTTCGATCTAGAGAGGGCTTAAGGGATTTGATCGTAAGTTTCAAGGTTTGCGGCTGACAGGGGGGGGGGGGGGCTACTTCAGTAAACTAAGGTTGTGCCCTCAAAGCGGCAACCTGAATGAACTCCAACAAATGCATTGGCATAACCATATCCTGGAATCCCAACACTCCGTGGAGCTCTTTGTTTATGAGGGTTTAGGGTTTTCAGGGATGGGGTAGGCCAGGGACGCTGTTAAAAACGGGCGTAACAGAACGATCCGGACATCCAAAGCGTGCGCCAACCTATGGCTGGCCTCGATACCGCGCCATCTCGAACCCTTAAGCAACCGATTCAAGAGACTTGCCTTGAACGAACTAGACACAACAAAGTGTATGCTAATGCAAGATCATGTGTATATATATATATATGTGCATATCCATATTTATATCCCGTGATCCCTTGAACGCCAGATCTGAAACCCTACACCTTCAAAAAAAGGTCACGGCGTCTTCGAAGACCAGAAACACTTTCTCAACCCAGATGGCCTGGGCAGGCGCCCCATGGCTGCGCTGTGCTGGGCATCCAGCCTGGGAGCAAAACACATTTCGGGGGTAAAGGGTTTGGGGTTTAGGGTTTAGGGCTCGGGAACTGCCTGAAAACAGTCAAAAAAATGCACAGCCTTGACGCCCTCGACCCTGAACCTTAAGTCCTGGCTCTTTGAGGCCTTGTGCCTGCTGCCATGTTCATGCCTGCAATGCTGCAAAGCACGCCTTTAGATACGAACAGCCCTAACGCCGAACCATCACGAAGACGCACATCGCAATGTTCAGGAAAGGCCCCCCTCCCCCTTCCACTCCACCCGAAGGAAACCCACCCCCAGAGACCAACAGCTCAATCAAGCCTAATCCTAACGCAGCATGATGTTCAGGCTGCCTTAGTCACGGAGGGTCCCTTTCGAATCCTTGCGCCTTCAACCCCTCGCGCCTTCAACCCCTCAAGAACCCAAGCCAGAAGCTTTCCTGAACCACATGAACCCTAAACCTTCCCGTCCGAAGCCGTAACACCTTGAACCACGCCTTCATGAAGCCCCTTTGTGAAAGCCCAAGCAAACCCCGAACAACATCCCTAAACTCTGAACCCGAAGCCCCGAAAAACCCTGCAGCCAGTGGTGAAACCCACAAGCCATTCAAAAGACCCTACTTGGAGCTTCATCGGTAAGTCTAAGACTTATTTGGTCGCCCAGTAGCCATATGATCATCAGGCCACACTTTTCCTTTTTCATTTGGGCTACCAAGCCTTGTAGGGTTTCATGTCTTATGACCCGACTTATGGCCCTACTCTCAAGTACCCGAAGGCCCTAAGGATCCTAAACCCCTTAAAAAGCCCTCCCTAAACCCTCAACTTAGCCCTGAAACTCTACCTGAAAGTATCCAATGAAGCCCCAAGCACGGCGCCTTCGGGCTCGCCCCCAGGTGAGCGCCAAGGGGCCGGACCTGGAGTTGAACGGGTGGGGAGCGGGGGAAGGGTTAGGGTGTAGAGCGTAGACGGTTTACAGGGTTTCTCTAGGGCTTATGGGGTTTGTAGGGCGTTTTCAAGGCAGCGTTGTAAGCGCTTCGGCAGTTCAGGGAGTTCAGGGCGTTGAGGGGTGCGGGAGTTCAGGCCTGCATTTGGGGGCTTCGCCGGCTTGGAAGTCGACCACTCTAGAAGTTGCTTCGGAGAATGGTCGTTGATAGGCGGGGATGTGGGGTCATTGCCTCCTCTAGCACCCGGCCCCCCCAAAAACCTGGAAGCCCCGACGCGCGTCCTGAGGAGCTTCCGCTTCTACGCTACTACCCCTAAACATGAAACCCTAAACCCCCTTAGTACCCCTAAACACCAACCCCTATAAGTCCCAAAAGCTCTTGTTGGGCTCGTGGGGCCGCTTTGGAAACCCCAGAAAGGGCTTCGCTTCATGGAGCTTGGGGGCTCTCACGATCTTGCGACGCCGCGCAGCTCCCCTGGTAGCCGAAACCCTAAGAGTGTACCCTAAAAACCCTGTACCCTAAGCCCGAAATCCCAAAGACTAACCCTAAACCCTGTGCCCTACACCCACTGGCAACAGTTGGCTCCAAAACTCTGAACGGGTTATTGGTTCAGTTCTACTTGGAGGTTCATGGTGCTCACTAACCAATGTTAACTGTACTTGTAACTGTACTTATATGCATAATGGGGCACTTGAGGGGCTTACGAGTGGGTTATAAGTACAGTTCTAAGTTTAGGGGGTTTAGAGGGTTTGTAGGATTTAGAGGGTTTAGGGGTTTAGAGGGTTTAGAGGGTTTAGGGGGGTTTAGAAGGTTTAAGGCTTAGGGGCTTAGAGGGTTTAGAGGGTTTAGAGGGCTTAGAGGGCTTAGAGGGTTGAGAGGGCTTAGAATTCTGGAGGTTCAGAAGGTTTAGAGGGTTTAGGGGGTTTAGATGGGTCAGAGGGTTTAGGGGTTTAGAAGGTTTAGGGTTTAGGGGTTCAGAGGGTTTAGGGTTTATAGGGTTTAAAGGGCTTAGAGGGTTTAGGGGTTTAGGGGGTTTAGAAGGTTTTGGGTTCAGGGGGTTTGGGGGTTTAGGGGTTTAGAGGGTTTAGAGGGTTTAGGGGGTTTTTGGGTTTAGAGGGTTTAGAGGGTTCATGGGGTTTAGAGGGTTTGTAGAGTTTAGAGGGTTTGGAGGGTTTGGGGGTTTAGCGGGTTTAGAAGGTCTAGGTCGTAGGGGTTGAGGGCTTAGGGGTTTAGGGGGTTTAGAGGGTTTAGGGGCTTTTAAGGGTTTGCGGGATTTAGAGGGTTTATGGGATTTAGAGGGTTCAGGGGTTTAGAGAGTTTAGGGGGCTTAGAGGGTTTAGGGTTTGTAGGGTTCAGGGGTTAGGGTGCAAGGCGACACCCCGAAAGCTGCTTCAAACCTGACCGAGCCGAGGCACTCGTCAAGGAGGTGCCGTGTTGAGTCATCTCCCGCGACCTCGCCGCCACGCATGCCACGACCTCAACCCTAAACCCTCAACCCTAAACCCCAAACCCTAAACCCTAAACCCTTGACCCTTGAACCTCAAGCTGAATTTGAAGCGAATGAGGGTTTGAGCCTCTTGGGATTTCAGGAGTTTTGGGGCCGCAGGATTCGTTTCAGGCTCTCGCGGAATAGGAGGCTTCGAAAGGGCTAAAGGACGCGGGGGGGGGCCGAAGGTTCGCGACTTTTAGGGTTACGCTGGGTTTAGGGTTTAGGGTACTTTTAGGCTTCAGGATTTCATTTAGGGAAGAGGGTTGACCTGTGAAGGGGTTGCCGGGTTGCACCGGGAGCCCCCACCACCGAGATGGCCCAAGCTGAAGCTATGAGAGCTCAACCAAACCCTCTTTAACCCACAAAAAAGGCCTCAACGCCCTAAACCCCGAACCCCCCCCCCCCAAAAAAAAAAAAAAAACAGCCCTAAACCTCCAAACCCTGAGCCCTGGAGCCAACAAAAGATGGTGAAGCCTTCTGTCCCCAAGCGGAAAGATGCACAGAGGCAGTTCGGGCACACCCTAAACCCTAAACCCTAAACCCTAAACCCTAAACCCTAAACCCTAAACCCTAAACCCTAAACCCTAAACCCTAAACCCTAAACCCTAAACGCCAATCCCTAAACCCTAAACCCTAAACCCTAAACCCTAAACCCTAAACCCTAAACCCTGCAAGGCTCGGCCCCGGGCTTCGCAATCCAACGCGCCTGCTGGTCACAAGCCTGCCTCGGTGTGGAAGATTGGGGTGCTTTTAGGCCTGCATGTTTTAGGGATCGTCGGCTGTTTTCTGGGCATGAAGCAGTAGACATTGCAAACTCTGCAGTCGTTTTGGGTCGCAGGAAAACATGCCTTGGCAAGAGCTGAGATCGAGCCCCGACACGTTGTTTCGGCATCCTCCGCCAGAATTCTCACAACAGAAGCTAGAGTGCCAGAGCACCCAAGCCGGTGGGCCAATTGCAGCCGCCACGCTACAGTACATACAGCACGTTGTGTTTTTTGCGCATGTTTTTTCTCGAAGAAAGTGTACTGTCCTGAACACATTGTACGATATACTTGCATGAGACATCGGCCATGTCTTTGATTGCCGTAGGCTCACCTGAAAAGTTGGTTAACAAAGATTTCGCCTCATGCGGCTCAAAGAGTTCGCCCGGCACAAGTTCTGCACCAGGAAACAACGTGACATTGTCACGCATGCCCCTTGCCGGAGCTTGTGTGCATGGGGGGCTGCAAGGGCTCAGTATGGAGCCATGGGGTCTTACCAAGTGAGATGCTCAAGGCGTGGAGGCTCTGAGGCTGCTGGGGTGTTTGGGCTAAGCCCTTGCAGGTGCTCAAGCAGCACCGGTGGAGACCCTGGAGGGCTTGGCCCTGGATTTCCGGGTGCTCCGCCCCCCATTCTTCTTCAAACCCTTAGCTTTGCCCTTCTGGGCTGGAGGCAACTTCGACTCAAGGTCGACAGGATTCGAGCTTTCCTCGCTGCTCCATGCAGGAACAGGACGGTCCTCCGCGATGGTCAATGGCAACTTCAGAGACGCAGACCTCAGGAGGACTTTCTTTCTCACTGCCGCACGCCACACCATCAACCATCACAGCAGTCTCCGAACGGGATAAGAAACCTCGCCTCTCCCAACATCCCCAACCTGCGAGATCACACAGCATCACAGCACCCCCGGCCTCATCCGAAGGTCCTGGCGAACAAGGCGCACCTTGCCATGCTTCCTCCTCCAAGAAGGGACAATGAGGACACAACGTCAAGAAGTGCCAGCTGTCTGCAACGGCATGTACACGTCTACACAGATGTATTTCTCAGGTTGCGAAGGGAGGTGCCACGCGACAGCAAGACAAAACGATTCTGGGAGGTCGGGGGATGCTCTTCGGGCCCACGCACGCGCCTTTGTGTCGACAGCTTCGGCGCTGTCAATCACCAAAATCCCAACGTCCAACATGTCCGTGGAGATGGCCGGAGGCTCCTCTACCTTAAGTGCACGTTGTGGTTGGACCACTCTGAACATATGACTCATATGACGCCTTCCAACATTCACCTTGTTGTTCTGGTTGGCCCAGGCACGGATTCTGAGCCCATGAGGTTCGGCTCCGGGGCTCCGGGAAGCTCCTCTCATGGACCCGGCTGCCGTCTTATATAAAGACTCGAAGGTGTATGACTCAGGGGCCGTTCCAAGGTGCAAAGCTTTGGGCGCTTCTTGAGACGGGAACGTCTATCCCCAACATGGAATGAGCATCCTGGTCCGGATTTTACTATACTACACTTCAATTACTCTTCGGAGATACTTGCACTTTTGTGCACGGCCTTTCTCGCTTGCCGTCGCTCGCCTTGTCAGTGAACATCGGGGGGCGTGAAAGAAACTCATGCGGCCATGTCGTGTCGCACGCTTTCGGGCGCGTGCACTGGCACTCTGGGCTTCTGAGGGCTTTGATCATGATCAGGAACTGGTAGATGCAATCAGCTTTTCTAATGTCTGCCCCTACTACAGTTGCCCTTCCTCCTTCGGTACTCTAAGCATCTAGGGTTGGGCACTACAAGGAAACGCGACTGCTGTTCGAGTCGGTTTCTCACTCCAGACGTAACCGAAGGAAGCAATCGCATAGGGCGATCTCATGAGCTGCACCGCTGGCATCTCTGTACTTCTGTGCTCGGGACGCTGCTCAGTCAGCTGGCAAAATCCTATGCCACACTGCTTCTGCTAGCTCATGGTGCGGGCATGGATGCTGTGGTCAGCGCATGCGTGCTGGTATCTGGACACGGAAATCGCAGGGGGACTGCTAGTCCTCGTACTTAGACCATCAGTCATTGCAGGGAATTTCGGCGGGATCTCTGCGTGTCCACGCATGAGGGCGCGACAACCTTTGGCGATGTTCTCTACACTCAAAATCACTCAAACTCAACTTTACCATGTGTATAGATAGATAGATAGATAGATAGATTAATGGATTAGATAGATGGATAGATAGATGGATAATAGATATTCAGATACATCTCACAACATCTCTCTGTAAAGTCGTACCAGACCTTTGTGAGTACAATGCATGGGTTTGAACAAACGTGGTTTGACACTGGTGGGAAGACTCCGTCGGGTCCCACGGTCCGCCTCCGCTATTATCTTCAATAAAGCCCTAAAAACTCCCCTGCTCCGAGTGCTCCCTGGTCTCCTCATGCAAATTCTCGGAAGGAACGTCTTTGCCCCGAGCGTGCTGCGGTGCCGCGGAGTCCTTGCGTAGAAAGCGACTCCGACGTCCGAACATGCCCATGTGCAAGGTCGTACATACATTGCAAAATGACTCACAAGCCTTGTGACAAGACAACCGTTTGTTTTTGCACGGCCTGGCTCTGCTCCTCCTGGAAACATGGTTTGAAAACCTAGCGTAGGAAGCCATTCTCCACCAACATGGAGAACCCTAAGCTAACCAAGGAAAGTAACGCAGTGGAGAAATTCTAAGGTCCTCTTCGATTGCATCGATGCGGACGCCCACGGTGTCGGCTCTGGGTGCTTCTTCACTGGCCGGGATGTCATCGGGCGCAAGCTTGAACTCCAGGTCACAAACTCGCACAGCATAGCCTGGAAACTTGTCAAAACTCCACAGGCCACGAAAAAAAGTGCGCCTCAAGCTGACGCACCGGTATATATGTGCATCCCGCCTGCAAAAAGCCACGTGCTCAGGAGGAGGCTCAAGAACTGCACAATCAGTTGATCAGCCGTCTGGGCTGAGTAGAGAAGCGAGTAGGCGGTGATGCACCCGCAGAAAAAGGCCTCCGAGCGTTTCTCCTCCTCAACAGCGGCTGCGGCACTTGCCAGAAGAAGATTCGCTTGCCATGGTTCCAAGCTACAACACGAAGACTCAAGTCTAAAAAGTCCCTGTCAAACGCCGAAGCAGGCCCTTTACTTTGAGCATCCACGTCCTATGAGGGCGCTGTAAGGATCATCTAGGATATGGGCACTGTAGAGATGCTCTGTAGGATGTGGCTTTGGGATACGACCCGAGCTGAGTCCAAGCCACCTCGATGAAGTCCAAGAGGTCCTTCCGCATGAGGCCTGTGCGCAAGGAGTCCCTGATCGCCTGTGCGTCATGTGCGTGTGACGCAGGGAGACTCAGGGATGGAGAGCTTGGCTCGACACGTCTTGAAAGTGTTGTATACCTGACTACGACCTCTAGATCTGTGTCTCTGACTCGGTGCTTTCTCAAGATTGTGGAAGACAACTCAACGGTTCTCCTGCAGGCCTCGCGGAGACGCCAAGGAGGGAGGGCAGACAGCTGCTTCAGCACACTGCGAGCCACCAGGAAGCTCATCACCGCAGCGAAGAGGTGGTGCTTCGTGACCAGCAAGGTGAAGATCGTGTTGACGTCAAGCCCAACATCCAGCACCAGCAAGGCCAAGCCCTGCCACAGCCCGGCCCGCCAAGGCCACGAGAAACCGACCACCGGCCTGAGACTCTTGTGCACCGTGCAGAAATCTTGGGGGCGAGTGCTCCGAAGCAACTCTTTTACGGCCCAGCGCTTCACGTCCTCAGAACCTCTGGTCTTTCGAATCCGCGCTCGCAAGCTGGGCGCGCAGGAGCTCAGGACTGCGCTGAGCAGACAGAGCAAGTAGAAGCCCAGAAGGCCCAAATACGAGTGCCGAGCCAGATCAAAAAGACCAATTGCTGAAACACCTTCAGGGGCCCACTGGAAAAGCCAGTGCTGACGCAGCCATCTGCCATCCCACGCATTGAACTTTTGCTGCGACCAGTCCACAAGGGCAGGATTCAGCAGCATGGAATCGGAGGCGCCCACCGTGGAATGTATGGAAAACAAGTACGCGTCGCCAAATGCCGAGAAGTATACTCCGCCACAAAGACACGTCAAGATCAGAGTGCGCAGGAAGCCGGCCACCTGGACAGTGGCTTCGGGAAACCGTAATTTCTAGTCGCTCACTGGTCTTGGAAATGTGGGTGCCAGTGTGGTCTAAAACGGTGCTAAGCCGACAAAGCCTTAGAGGCTTCATGCTTCAGGTTTAGGGCTTATGTAAGCTTAACGACAAGGGATAGGGCTTAAGGGTTCAAGTGCTTGCAGGACTGAGGGGTTTAGGGTTTGAAGTTGGGGGTTGGCTTCATCGCGACGTGGTGGCTGTTGATGCCCTGGCGGTGATTACTTACACCCTCCAATCTAAACCCAAAGCCTACATTCGAAACCATAAAACCTGAAATCTACACCACAACAAACCCAAACCCAAAACACCAAAACACGAACCCTAACCCCAAACATCCCCAAACCACGAGCCCTAAGCCCCAAACCCCGTTTGAAAAAAACGAACTTGCTGCGCGTGGCGTCTGCCTCATTGACCCTCACTTGCTGTTGATCCTGATAAGCAACTCGGCCACTTGCCCGGCGGAAATCCCAGAAATTCCTCCCAGAAAAAAGTTTCGCCTGGCCTTGTCTTTCAGGGCCCGGCCCAGCCCTCCAAAGTGGCGCTTTCACTGACCCGCCTACAAGGATGAGGAAAAGAAGCCTCCATAAAGGCCCATTTCCGCCATCAAAAACCCTGCTAGAATCGACATGAATGACGGTACCGGAATGCCTTACGCGAGCCTCTTCAAAGATCCACTATGAACGGCCTACATGGGCGTTTCGAAGGGGGCCGGATTGCCCGAAACCTTTGAAGAGCATGTCGCCGAGGTGGCTATAAACTGAATCTTCGGAAGTGAAGTCGTGTGTCTCTTCTTCGTAACACGTTCCCCTTGTTCAGAAGTTCTCATACGTGCCGTACAAAACCACAGGAGCTGAGCGAGCAAAGTTGGGCCTGTGAGGCTGTGTCCTTGGTCATGATGGCCTTCGCGGGGGCTTGGAGCAGACTCCCCACTCCGTAGTGCCTGGCTGCCGGGCCGACGTAGCAGAGGAAAACCACCGGCAGCCACCAGATCCAGCGAACCAGCAAGTTCGCGAACCCCAACCACAAGATGGCAACTAAGACTTCGAGCCACCTCCACAGCCTGAGGAGCCACGTGTTCTTCGCAAAGGCTAGGCTCACCAGCTGCTTGGCACCCTGCTCGAAGGGGTCCTGCGCAGCCTCCTCCGCTGGCGCACCCAGCCGTGCGCTTTGTCGCTTCTGCATCCACTTGGCTGCCAGAATCTCCAGACGAATGGCTACAACTGCCGCACTGACAGCGGAGACCAATGCAACCCATGTGAGCCAGTCGGACAGGGTGTTGGCAATCACATCCTCGAACGTGATGCGGGATTGCAAGAACTCCTTCATGCCAAGATGAATGGCTCTCCCTTTTTCACAGGCAGTTCTCACGCCGGACAGACCAAACCCCACGATAAAAAGCGCGACCCCAAAACCCACGGCCAGACCGGCGCCTGCGAGAGCGAAATGTCCACCTACAACGAGTGAGTGCAATTTCGAGCACGGAATGCGCACGGGACGCCGGAGAAAGTACCGTCGCGAAGCCAAATGCCACGCTTCGAGACGTGCGGCGTGCTCACGGGACTTTCAGAAATGATGCCCGGCCAAGAATGTGCTAGTTATGCACTTCACGAGGAGCATGCAAGGAAAGAGCTCCGTGTCGAGCACGCAGATCCCCTTGTAAGGACACACGAAGCGAACCCATCCAACACCCCCAACAAGCAGGAGCGTACGTCCCATGTTTTCGCAACACGGAGCCACCCAAGCCTCAAAAGGGTGCAATCTTGGGCGTTTATACGTAACCAGCCACCCTGGAATCCCGTAGTCAAAGCCCACCTGTAGGTGAAAGCTGCGCGCCCGGCGTTGAACAACTACTAGTATCGCAACCTAGCCCTCTTTACTCTTCACGTTAGAACCCCTTAGCAACCTTAGCGTCGCCAGGTTACTTGGGGAAAAAGAGCGAGAGAACGATCCATGATGTCATGAAGCCTGTCTCTTGTTGCCCGTCCTTGGCTTCGGGATCCTTCAGCCGGTCCACGAGTGCGCCAAAGATGTCAGCCCAACTGGGGCGCCCGCCACAGCCGTCAAGCCAGAGTTGCACATCCGTCTTCGACAAATCCTCCGGCTTTGAGCACTGCAAGTCCACCGCAGCCTCCTTCCAGGCTTGGACTTCGGCCAGGTTGAGATTGCAAACTGTGTCGACCAGGAAGCGGCATTCCAATTCAACTTTCAAGCCGTCTGTGTCAGCAGCACTTGCTTCATCGGGCCATTGCGTCAGGAGGAGTTGGATGACCTGAACGAGGCGACCTGTGGCTGCTATGTGCAAAGGAGTCTCGCCCCACTTGTTAGCAACCTTGAGGCCATCAGGCCATTGCTGGGCAAGCAAACGAACTATCTCGATGTTGCCATGACTGGCTGCTGTGTGCAAAGGAGTCCAGCCGCCATCGTCCGCAAGCTTGAGGCCGTCGGGCCATTGCTGGGCAAGGAAACGAACTATCTCGATGTTGTCATGACTGGCTGCTATGTGCACAGGAGTCCCGCCCCAGTCGTTAGTAACCTTGAGGCAATCAGGCCATTGCTGGGCAAGGAAACGAACTATCTCGATGTTGTCATGACTGGCTGCTATGTGCACAGGAGTCCCGCCCCTGACGTCAGCAAGCTTGAGGCCATCAGGCCATTGCTGGGCAAGGAAAAGAACAATCTCGGTGTAGTCACGCCTGGCTGCTATGTGCAAAGGAGTCTCGCCGTCATCGTCCGCAAGCTTGAGGCCGTCGGGCCATTGCTGGGCAAGGAAACGAACGATCTCGATGTTGCCATGACTGGCTGCTATGTGCAAAGGAGTCTGGCCCCAGACGTTAGCAACCTTGAGGCCATTAGGCCATTGCTGGGCAAGGAAAAGAGAGATCTCGGTGTTGTTACTTTCGGCTGCATTGTGCAAAGGAGTCTCGCCCCAGTCGTCAGCAAGCTTGAGGCCATCAGGCCATTGCTGGGCAACGAAAAGAACGATCTCGGTGTTGCCATGTCTGGCTGCAGCGTGCAGAAGTGTACCGCCCCAACGGTCCGCAACCGTGAGGCCCTCGGGCCACTGCAGCAGGAGGAACCGAACAAGCTCCATGCTACCATTCCAGGCTGCGTTGTGCAAAGGAGTCACGTGGTTCAAATCCGCAAGCTTGAGTCCGTCGGGCCACTGGTCTAACAGAAGCTTCACGAGCTCGATGCTGCCGCTGCTGCAAGCGAGGTGCAACGGCACCTGGTCCCAACCGTCCGTGGCTTGCACACCCTCTGGCCAGGCAGTGAGTAGTAACCGCACGACAGCGACATCTCCCTGCAAGCTGGCTTCATGCAGCAGAGTGGACTTCTCCCCATACTCATCGAAGAACACCATGTCGTTGGCGCCAGTGAAGCTGCCACTGGCCAGAAGCCTGCCCGGGCGAATTTAAAGAGTTTCGGGCTTTTGGGGCCTGGGCTGATCAACAACAAGCCATAAGCCAGAACGTCTATTCGGTCTATCGCAAGTCGAAAACCCACCGCCACCACTATGCCAAGACCAAAAGCCCGTAGCCTCTGAACTGCTTGTGCATCGCCGGCGCTCACGGCTGCAAAGAGCTCGTCCTTGGGCCCGGCTGACGCGGCCAAGCTGCAGAGCCATAGCACAGGCCAGCGATACATCTTTCCGGTACACTCTACTACCCTACGGACTCTAGACAAGTTACATCATGATTATAACGTCTGAATGTGGTGCTGCTGCGCAGTTCGCAGCAAAAGGCCGGCGTGCCTCGAGACGTGCCTCGAGCAGAAGGGCTTTGACACGAGGCGGGTGCCATTCCGAATGTCTTACAGGTCCCATGGGGCCTGGGACTTGGGGGGGCCTTGCGGCGGCAAGGTGCTCCCGTACAATACTCCCCGAAGACGAGGTCGGAGCCGAACATTTCGTGCTGCGAGCTCTCCGCGTCTCGGCCTCGCGCGGATCCAAGCGAAGCGTATTCAGCCCAGGGCCAGTCGAGGTGTTTCGGGTTTTCAGGTGATGGCCGCAAGCTAAGTTCCTTCAGGTTGGCGGCCGGAGTTCATGCTCTGGTTTGCTTAGATATGGATGATTTGGAAGTCTTTGGGGCGTGGAAGCCTGCCCCAAAAGCCCGACGCCGCACTACGGATGCGACATTTTCAGGAAAGCTCGGGACTTCAGTACGGGGCGCAGGGGGAGTCCCTTTCGAGCCTTGCGCCCTCATCATTGCCGGAAACCCCCCCCCCAAACTCCGAAAGCCCTCTGAAATTGAATGAACCCAAAATTGCCTCACCCCAGCCCGAAGACCTCCAAACCCTGAGCCCTGGACCCGCCGGGCTGAGCTTTCCGCCACTCCTGCGGGTCTGCTCAACTACCAGTTGCCCCCCCCCTCCCCTCCCCTTGCACAAGCTTACCTCAGTGGAAGATAGTGGTTCAAGATCTGCTTCATAGGGCTCACCGGCCATGTCAGGGCATGAACGGTAGGCATTGGACATTTTCGCAGTCGCAGGAAACATGCCTCGACAAGTGCTGAGTTCGAGCCCCCGACACTGTTGTGGCAGCCCTAAACCCTAAACCCCTAAGTCCCAAACCATGACCCCTAAACACCTAAACACCTGAACCCTAAACCCCTAAAGCCTGAAATCTACTTAAGTACTTAAAGTTCTGAGGAGTCCGGAGGGAAACTGCCCGCATCTCGCCTTGAGCAGCAGGCGGACCACCTCCTGGTGGGCCTGGGTGGATGTGAGAGATTCGGGGGAGGGCTCAGGCTTTAGGGAACGGGGTTGTGTCGTAAAAGAGCGCCAACCCTAAACCCAAAACGTTCCCCCCCCCCCGCCCCAACCCGCCAAAGCCTAAAAGCACCAACATCCCCAAACCCTAAACCCTAAACCCTAAACCCTAAAGCTCTTAAGAGCCCCTTTGAGGACCTAAACCCCCCCCTGTTAAGGGCCCCAAAAGCCAAGGAAACCCGAGCTGCCAACGCCCAGGGCGTTCCACTCACGAGGTTCCTCGGAGCTGGAAGGGCTTGGGGCTTGGGGTTTGGGGCTTATAGGGTTTAGGATTTAGGGTTTAGGGTTGAGGGAGTAATTCGGGTTTAGGGTTTGGACATAAGGTGTAGGGTTGACATCGGTTGGCAAGCTGATGTGTGCTCTCCCTTTCGCAACCTTGGCCACATGAACCCTATAATTGGGATAGCCCTAAGCCCTATTACTATGAGAACTTCTAAGGTTCATGTAGTCCTAAGTTCGCTGCCCGATGCCCCCAAGCCCTGGGGAGTGAAAACAAGATTGGTAACTCACCTTCTCTCCTAACAAAGGCCTCGCTGAAAGGCGTCCACCTGAATCGCCCTAACAAACTCTGGGCCGATGGCTTCAAACCCCGAAGCCTCCACCCGGCCCTAAACCCCGACTGCCTGTGTCCAGCGCAGGCGCAAGCTGAGCGCCGACGCTGCGCAGCCTGCAACATTGGGGTGTTGGATCTGTTTGAGCGCTTACCGGCCATTGTCAGGGCATGGAACGGCAGACATTGCAGAATCTTTGCAGTCTTGTGAGTCACAGGAAACATGCCTCGACAAGAGCCGAGGTCAAGCCCCGATGTCCTGGGCGGATGTGAGAGATTCGGGGGAGGGCTCAGGCTTTAGGGAACGGGGGCGAGATGAGCAGCACGCGGACCACCTCCTGGTGGCCTGGGAGGATGTGCGAGGCTCTGGAGAAGGTCCAGGTTGTGTGGTTTGGGGTTGGAGGTTTCAGGGTGTCTAAAGCTTGCGCCTCTTTGAGGAAACATTCAGTTTCAGATACAGCATGAACCTTAATCCCTAAACCCAAAACGCCCCCCCCCCCCCCCCCCCCCCCCTGCGGAGATGGGAGTCCGGCATTGAGCAAGCAGATTCCCCCCCTCTCCGCCCCCTCAAACCCTGCCAAATCCTAAAAGCCGGAAGCCCCCCAAAATCCTAGAGCCCTTAAAGCCCTCAACATTAAAGCCCTGAAAGCCTTCAAGCTTGTAAAGCCCCTTTCAGACCCGAAAGTCTCCCCCAAGCCCCAAAAGAACTACCCTCGACCCAAGCCCAGGGGCTTGTCGAGCTGCCAAGGCCAAGGGCGTTCCATTCAGTGCGGTTCCTCGGAGGTGGAAGGGGGTTTGGGGCTTATGGGGTTTGGGGTTTGGGGTTTGGGGTTTGGGGTTTAGGGTTTAAGGTTTAGGGAAACAAGGTCTAGGGCTTGATGTGCGCTATCCCTTTCCCAGCCTGGGCCAAATGAACCCAATATTTGGGATAACCCTAAACCCTGTTACTATTATTGTTGCTATTATTGAGCAAGCAGTCCCCCCCCCCCCCCCCCCCCCCCCCCCCCCCCTTCGCCTACCCCACCCCCCCAACCCTCCAACCCCCCAAACCCTACCAAATCCGGAAGCCACCGCCCTTAAAGCAAAGCTCTTCAAGCCACTTTCAGACCCGAAAGCCCCCCCCCCCCCCCCCCCCCTCCAAAGCCCGAAAGAACTGCCCTCGGGCCAAGGAAGCCCGCCCGAAAGAACTGCCCTCGGGCCAAGGAAGCCCGGGGCCAGTGTCGAGCTGCCAAGGTCAAGGGCGTTCCATTCACCGCGGTTCCTCGGAGGTGGAAGGGAAGGGTTTGGGGTTTGGGGGTTTAGAGTTTATGGTTTGAGGTTTAGGGTTTAGGGAGTAGGGCTTAAGGTTTAGGAAATAAGGTGTAGGGTTGACATCCATGGGCAAGCTGATGTTTGTTATCCCTTTCGCAACCTTGGCCAATGAACTCTAAACCCTATTACTATGAGAACTTCTCGGGTTCATGCAGCTGCCGATGCTCCCAAGCCCTGAAATTGAAAACAACAAAAGCCTCACTGAAAGCCTAGCACCGAACGACCGGGAGTGAAAACAAGATTGGAACCCACCTTCTGACCCGACACAGGCTTGGCTGAAAGGCGTCCACCTGACCCGCCCTAACACCAAGCAACCCCGCAAACACCTAACATAACGTTCATAAGGTCCGCCCCGAAACCCCAACAAAGCAACTCGAAACCTGCCCCCCCCCCCCCCCCCCCCCCCCCACCGACAACATGCAGACAGACCCAAACAGACATAGCCATGCTTACAGAAGCCTGAGCCCAGGAAACTCCAAGCCTTCAGCACGGAGGAAATCCACCCCTCCAAGATCCTTAGCCATGCCACCCTCTGCCTTGTGCACCCCCTCAAAAACGGTGAAAGACGTTCAGAGGCCCCGACTCGACTTCGGGGCGGGCGTTTGCAGATCGCCAGAGCGGCGGCCCTGTCGTCTTCCGTTGAGGATGGCGGGCTTCGGGGTTGTAGGGGGGTTTCCTAGGTCCACGGTGCAGGAGTTTGGGAGCTTAGGGTTCTGGGTCGCGGGACCTAATGCAATGTTCAGCAGATGCCGGCACAAATAAACCGACACTCAACACCAGATGCCACAAAATGCACAAGAAAGTTCGCGACTTCCGTGACGCGGGCTCCTGATACTTTGAGAATCATGGGTATAAGACCTACTAGTGTTAAACGCAGGCTTACTTTATTCGCCCTGCTTATAAGAGCTCCAAGTACCCCAAACCCGTACACCCTTGACTTTAACCCCTCCCTATAAATCCTCAACCCTTGCACACTTCTCTCGAAAGGACCCTTGGGCCTCCGAGCAAGGCGGAGTCGCACACAAGCGGCGGACCTGGAGTTGCACGCGTTTCTGCTTCCGAAAGGAGGGCTGATGAAGGGTTTATTTTGGGGTTTATAGGGCGTGTGTGTGTGTGTGTGTGTGTTCGTTCAAAGCAACCTTGTAAAGCATTTACTGAGGGAGTATAGCGAGTTGAGGAGCTCAGGTCTGTTTAGGGCTGCATTTGGGGCTTCGTCGGAGTTGGGCGTTTCGGAGAATGGGCGTTTACGTGGGCTGAGGGGGGGGGGGAGCTCCGGCATTGAGACTGCCCAGCAAAACTCATGCGGGGCAATGCCTCCTCCATGCAGCATGGGACGTGCACGCGCCCAACCCTCTCTAAACCTGGAACCCCTGGCTCGTCTCCTGAGATTTTGCGGTTTGTGGAAGGCCTTCTGCGGGCGCGAAATGATGGGTTCAAGCCGAACCCAACAAAGGTCCCGAAATCCACCCCCCCCCCCCCTTATTCTACAGATGGGAGGGTTTAGGGTCTATAGGGTTTAGGGTTTAGGGTTTAGGGTTTAGGGTTTAGGGTTTAGGGTGTAGGGTTTAGGGTTTAGGGTTTACCCTTTCAAGCTTGCCCTGAAGGTCCGGGGGTACATCCGGCCTTGCAAGAATCCCCCTCTGGGAAACCTGCATGTTTTGTAGGGGACGCTACAGAACCCAAGACCACCAAGACCCCAAGGCCCCCAGAAGCACCCCTTTCAAGGATTGCAGATTTTTTCACGAAGACGTTGGGCCGTTCAGCAATTGCCTGCCGTCGAGGACCGACACAATAATCGACCCGACGCCAGATGCAAGAACATGTGCAGGAACGTTCGAGACTTCGGTGATGCGCGCTCTTGTGAATCCTCAGGCCCCAAACCCTATAAACGTTCACATCATCCTAAGCCCTACCGCCGAATCGACAAAACAAACAAACCCTGCCGCCCTAAACCCTCAAGCCTTAAACTACTCCCCCAATGAAGCCCCCAATCCTAAACCGAAAGCTGTAAACTCCGAATGTGAAACCCCAACCCCCAATCTGTAACCCACAAGAACCGTACGAAGAGGGTTTAGGGGTTTAGAAGGTTTAGGGTTTAGGGTTTAGGGGTTCAGCAGGTTTAGGGTTTATAGGGTTTAAAGGGTTTATAGAGGGTTTAGGGGTTTAGGAGGTGTAGAAGGTTTAGGGTTCAGGGGGTTTAGGGGTTTAGAGGGTTTAGGGGGTTTATGGGTTTAGGGGGTTTAGAGGGTTCAGAGGGTTCAGGGGTTTAGAGGGTTAGTGGGGTTTAGAGGGTTTAGAAGGTTCAGGGTTTAGGGTTGTTTCAGAGGGTTTGTAGGTTTTAGAGGGTTTCGGGTTTAGGGGCTTAGGGCTTATAGGGTTGAGAGGGTTTAGAAGGTTTAGAGGGTGTAGAGGGTTTGTAGGGTTCAGGGGTTAGGGTGCAAGGCGACACCCCGAAAGCTGCTTCAAACCTGACCGAGCCGAGGGAGGGGCCGTGTTGAGGCATCGCGACCTCGCCGCCATGACTGCCACGACCTCGCCATGACCAAACCCTAAACCCTAAACCCTTGACCCTAAACCCTAAACCCTAAACCCTAAACCCTAAACCCTGGACCCTGGACCCTTGAGCCTGAAGCTGAATTTGAAGCGTTGAGGGTTTGAGCCCCTTGGGATTTCAAGGGTCTGGGGTCGCAGGACTCGTCTCAGGCTCTCGCGGAATAGGAGGCTTTGGAAAGGGCTGAAGGACCCGGGGCGCGCCGAAGGTTCGTGACCTTTACGGTTTCGTTGGGCTCAGGGGTTTACATGGGTGGCGGTCAAAATCATCCCTTTTGGGGTACCCTAAAGATTAGGTGCCGTATTATAGTCGGGATCCAAAAAGGGGACCATAATTTTGACAGCCACCCACGTGTAGGGGAGGGTTTAATCGGCTTCAGGATCTCATTTAGCGAAGGGGGCCTGGTGCCTTGCGAAGGGGTTGCCGGGGTTGCACCAGGATCTCCCATCACTGAGAGGGCCCCAGTTTGAGCTATGACAGCTCATCCGCAAAAGCCTCTCTGGACTCTTGACTACAAACCCAAACCCTCCTTAACCCACAAGAAAGGCGCCCTAAACCCTGAACACCTCCCCCCCCTGTAGGTTTCGGGTTTAGGGTTTGGGGTTTGGGGTTTAGGGTTTAGCGTTTAGGGTTTAGGGTTGAGGTTTGATAAGCCCAATCAACCTTATGTCGAAGCCCTACAACCGAAACAACAACAACAACAATAAGAAAGCTTGCCGCTCTAAGCCCAAGCCCTCATGAACACCGCAGTCCTAAACCAAAAGCTGGAAAGCCCAGATTCGAACCCCCACTCCCAATCAACAACCAGAAAAAAACCACACAAACTTTCCAAAAAAGCACTCAGCCATTCACGTCGAGCTTGAGACTTGCGCACAGCTCTTAACCTTGCTGCCCTAACCCGCAGCCCCGTCCCAAAACCCCAAATATGCCCCACAAAACCCGCACGAGGCTTCTGAGAAGCACTCAAGCTTGACGCTGAACCGCCCTAGTCTTAGCCCGAATCAAGGACCCCTTGAAACCCCAAACACTAAACTCCGAACTGGAAGACCAAGGACTTTCATGAGAAGATTTTGATTGCGAGGATCGAAAGAAACAGCGACAATCGCAAGTTTGATGAGCGACAAGCTGCACAAAGGAACACCTTTGATGTATCTTCAAGTCAAGTTCCTCGTGGGCAGAACAAAGATTATGAACAGCAGCAGGGAAATTCCTCAGACTTCGATCTAGAGAGGGCTTAAGGGATTTGATCGTAAGTTTCAAGGTTTGCGGCTGACAGGGGGGGGGGGGGGCTACTTCAGTAAACTAAGGTTGTGCCCTCAAAGCGGCAACCTGAATGAACTCCAACAAATGCATTGGCATAACCATATCCTGGAATCCCAACACTCCGTGGAGCTCTTTGTTTATGAGGGTTTAGGGTTTTCAGGGATGGGGTAGGCCAGGGACGCTGTTAAAAACGGGCGTAACAGAACGATCCGGACATCCAAAGCGTGCGCCAACCTATGGCTGGCCTCGATACCGCGCCATCTCGAACCCTTAAGCAACCGATTCAAGAGACTTGCCTTGAACGAACTGGACACAACAAAGTGTATGATAATGCAAGATCATGTGTATATATATATATATACATGTGCATATCCATATTTATATCCCCTGATCCCTTGAACGCCAGATCTGAAACCCTACACCTTCAAAAAAAGGTCACGGCGTCTTCGAAGACCAGAAACACTTTCTCAACCCAGATGGCCTGGGCAGGCGCCCCATGGCTGCGCTGTGCTGGGCATCCAGCCTGGGAGCAAAACAAATTTCGGGGGTAAAGGGTTTGGGGTTTAGGGTTTAGGGCTCGGGAACTGCCTGAAAAAAGTCAAGAAAATGCACAGCCTTGACGCCCTCAACCCTGAACCTTAAGTCCTGGCTCTTTGAGGCCTTGTGCCTGCTGCCATGTTCATGCCTTCAATGCTGCAAAGCACGCCTTTAGATACGAACAGCCCTAACGCCGAACCATCACGAAGACGCACATCGCAATGTTCAGGAAAGGCCCCCCTCCCCCTTCCACTCCACCCGAAGGAAACCCACCCCCAGAGACCAACAGCTCAATCAAGCCTAATCCTAACGCAGCATGATGTTCAGGCTGCCTTAGTCACGGAGGGTCCCTTTCGAATCCTTGCGCCTTCAACCCCTCGCGCCTTCAACCCCTCAAGAACCCAAGCCAGAAGCTTTCCTGAACCACATGAACCCTAAACCTTCCCGTCCGAAGCCGTAACACCTTGAACCACGCCTTCATGAAGCCCCTTTGTGAAAGCCCAAGCAAACCCCGAACAACATCCCTAAACTCTGAACCCGAAGCCCCGAAAAACCCTGCAGCCAGTGGTGAAACCCACAAGCCATTCAAAAGACCCTACTTGGAGCTTCATCGGTAAGTCTTAGACTTATTTGGTCGCCCAGTAGCCATATGATCATCAGGGCACACTTTTCCTTTTTCATTTGGGCTACCAAGCCTTGTAGGGTTTCATGTCTTATGACCCGACTTATGGCCCTACCCTCAAGTACCCGAAGGCCCTAAGGATCCTGAACCCCTTAAACGCCCTCCCTAAACCCTCAACGTAGCCCTGAAACTCTACCTGACAGCATCCAATGAAGCCCCAAGCACGGCGCCGTCGGGCTCGCCCCCATCCCAGGTGAGCGCAAGGGGACGGACCTGGAGTTGAACGGGTGGGGAGCCGGGGAAGGTTAGGGTTTAGGGCGTAGAGGGCTTTCGGGTTTATAGGGTTTATATAGGGTTTATGGGGTTTATAGGATTTGTAGGGTTCATGGGGTTTATAGGGTGTTTTCAAAGCAGCGTTGTAAGCGCTTCGGCAGTTCAGGGAGTTGAGGGCGTTGAGGGGTTCGGGAGTTCAGGCCTGCATGTGGGGCTTCGCCGGCTTGGAAGTTGACCAGCCGAGAAGTTGCTTCGGAGAATGGTCGTTTATAGGCGGGGATCGGGATGTGGGGTCATTGCCTCCTCTAGCACCCGGCCCCCCTAAAACCTGGAAGCCCCGACGCGTGTCCTGAGAAGCTTCCGCTTCGGCGCTGATACCCGTAAACATGAAGCCCCAAAACAACTGAATACCCCTAAACATGAAGCCCCAAAACAACTTAATACCCCTAAACATGAACCCCTAAATCCTAAAAGCTCTTGTTGGGCTTGTGGGGGCGCCTCGGAAACCCAGAAAGGGCTTTGCTTCATGGAGCTTGGGGGCTCTCACGATCTTGCGATGCGCGCCGCGCAGCTCCCCTGGTAGCCGAAACCCTAAAGAGTGTACCCTAAAAACCCTGTACCCTAAGCAAACCCCAAACCCTAAACCCTAAACCCTTGACCCTTGAACCTCAAGCTGAATTTGAAGCGTTGAGGGTTTGAGCCTCTTGGGATTTCGGGAGTTTTGGGGCTGCAGGATTCGTTTCAGGCTCTCGCGGAATAGGAGGCTTCGAAAGGGCTAAAGGACGGGGGGGGGGGGGGGGGGGGCGACGGTTCGCGACGTTTAGGGTTACACTGGGTTTAGGGTTTAGGGTACTTTTAGTCTTCAGGATTTCACTTAGGGAAGAGGGTTGACCTGTGAAGGGGTCGCCGGGTTGCGCCGGGAGCCCCCCACCCCCCACCACCGAGATGGCCCAAGCTGAAGCTATGAGAGCTCAACCAAACCCTCCTTAACCCACAAAAAAGGCCTCAACGCCCTAAACCCCGAAGCCCCCCCCCCCCCCCCAAAAAAAAAAAAAAAAACAGCCCTAAACCTCCAAACCCTGAGCCCTGGAGCCAACAAAAGATGCTGAAGCCTTCTGTCCCCAAGCGGAAAGATGGACAGAGGCAGTTCGGGCACACCCTAAACCCTAAACCCTAAACCCTAAACCCTAAACCCTAAACCCTAAAACCTAAACCCTAAACCCTAAACCCTAAACCCTAAACCCTAAACCCTAAACCCTAAACCCTGCAAGGCTCGGCCCCGGGCTTCGCAATCCAAGGCGCCTGCTGGTCACAAGCCTGCCTCGGTGTGGAAGATTGGGGTGCTTTTAGGCCTGCATGTTTTAGGGATCGTCGGCTGTTTTCTGGGCATGAAGCAGTAGACATTGCAAACTCTGCAGACGTTTTGGGTCGCAGGAAAACATGCCTTGGCAAGAGCTGAGATCGAGCCCCGACACGTTGTTTCGGCATCCTCGCGCCAGAATTCTCACAACAGAAGCTAGCCAGAGCACCCAAGCCGGTGGGCCAATTGCAACCGCCACGCTACAGTACAACAGCATATTGTGTTTTTTGCGCATGTTTTTTCTCGAATAAAGTGTACTGTCCTGAACACATTGTACGATATACTTGCATGAGACATCGGCCATGTCTTTGATTGCCGTAGGCTCACCTGAAAAATTGGTTAACAAAGATTTCGCCTCATGCGGCTCAAAGAGTTCGCCCGGCGCACGTTCTGCACCAGGAAACAACGTGACATTGTCACGCATGCCCCTTGCCGGAGCTTGTGTGCATGGGGGGCTGCAAGGGCTCAGCATCGAGCCATGGGGTCTTACCAAGTGAGATGCTCAAGGCGTGGAGGCTCTGAGGCTGTTGGGGTGTTTGGACTAAGCCCTTGCAGGTGCTCAAGCAGCACCGGTGGAGACCCTGGAGAGCTTGGCCCTGGATTTCCGGGTGCTCCGCCCCCCATTCTTCTTCAAACCCTTAGCTTTGCCCTTCTTGGCTGGAGGCAAGTTCGACTCAAGGTCGACAGGATTCGAGCTTTCCTCGCTGCTCCATGCAGGAACAGGACGGTCCTCCGCGATGGTCAGTGGCAACTTCAGAGACGCAGACCTCAGGAGGACTTTCTTTCTCACTGCCGCACGCCACACCATCAACCATCACAGCAGTCTCCGAACGGGATAAGAAACCTCGCCTCTCCCAACATCCCCAACCTGCGAGATCACACAGCATCACAGCACCCCCGGCCTCATCCGAAGGTCCTGGCGAACAAGGCGCACCTTGCCATGCTTCCTCCTCCAAGAAGGGACAATGAGGACACAACGTCAAGAAGTGCCAGCTGTCTGCAACGGCATGTACACGTCTACACAGATGTATTTCTCAGGTTGCGAAGGGAGGTGCCACGCGACAGCAAGACAAAACGATTCTGGGAGGTCGGGGGATGCTCTTCGGGCCCACGTACGCGCCTTTGTGTCGACGGCTTCGGCGCTGTCAATCACCAAAATCCCAACGTCCAACATGTCCGTGGAGATGGCCGGAGGCTCCTCTACCTTAAGTGCACGTTGTGGTTGGACCACTCTGAACATATGACTCATATGACGCCTTCCAACATTCACCTTGTTGTTCTGGTTGGCCCAGGCACGGATTCTGAGCCCATGAGGTTCGGCTCCGGGGCTCCGGGAAGCTCCTCTCATGGACCCGGCTGCCGTCTTATATAAAGACTCGAAGGTGTATGACTCAGGGGCCGTTCCAAGGTGCAAAGCTTTGGGCGCTTCTTGAGACGGGAACGTCTATCCCCAACATGGAATGGGCATCCTGGTCCGGATTTTACTATACTACACTTCAATTACTCTTCGGAGATACTTGCACTTTTGTGCACGGCCTTTCTCGCTTGCCGTCGCTCGCCTTGTCAGTGAACATCGGGGGGCGTGAAAGAAACTCATGCGGCCATGTCGTGTCGCACGCTTTCGGGCGCGTGCGCTGGCACTCTGGGCGTCTGAGGGCTTTGATCATGATCAGGAACTGGTAGACGCAATCAGCTTTTCTAATGTCTGCCCCTACTACACTAGAAATAGGTTGCCCTTCCTCCTTCGGCACTCTGCAGGAGCATCTAGGGTTGGGCACTACAGGGAAACGCGACTGCTGTTCGAGTCGGTTTCTCACTCCGGACGTAGCCGAAGGAAGCAATCGCATGGGGCGATCTCATGAGCTGCACCGCTGGCATCTCTGTACTTCTGTGCTCGGGACGCTGCTCAGCTGGCAAGCCTATGCAACACTGCTTCTGCTAGCTCATGGTGCGGGCATGGATGCTGTGGTCAGCGCATGCTGGTAACTGGACACGGAAATCGCAGGGGGACTGCGAGTCCTCGTACTTAGACCGTCAGTCATTGCCGGGAATTTCGGTGGGATCTCTGCGTGTCCACGCATGAGGGCGCGACAACCTTTGGCGATGTTCTCTACACTCAAACTCAACTTTACCATGTGTATAGATAAATAGATAGATAGATTAATGGATTAGATAGATGGATAGGTAGATGGATAATAGATATTCATATACATCTCACAATATCTCTGTCATCTCTATAAAGTCGTACCAGACCTTGGTGAGTACAACGCATCGGTTTGAACAAACGTGGTTTGGCACTGGTGGGAAGACCCCGTCGGGTCCCACGGTCTGCCTCCGCTGCTAGCATCTTCAATAAAGCCCTAAAAGCTCCCCTGCTCCGAGCGCTCCCTGGTCTCCTCATGCAAATTCTCGGAAGGGGCGTCTTTGCCCCGAGCGTGCTGCGGTGCCGGGGCGTCCTTGCGTAGAAAGCGACTCCGACGTCCGAACATACCCATGTGCAAGGTCGTACATACATTGCAAGATGAACCACAAGCCTTGTGACAAGACAACCGTTTGTTTTTGCACGGCCTGGCTCTGCTCCTCCTGGAAACATGATGGAGAACCCTAAGCTAACCAAGGAAAGTAACGCAGTGGAGAACTCTAAGGTCCTCTTCGATTGCATCGATGCGGACGCCCACGGTGTCGGCTCTGGGTGCTTCTTCACTGGCCGGGATGTCATCGGGCGCAAGCTTGAACTCCAGGTCACAAACTCGCACAGCATAGCCTGGAAACTTGTCAAAACTCCACAGGCCACGAAAAAAGTGCGCCTCAAGCTGACGCACCGGTATATATGTGCATCCCGCCTGCAAAAAGCCACGTGCTCAGGAGGAGGCTCAAGAACTGCACAAGCAGTTGATCAGCCGTCTGGGCTGAGTAGAGAAGCGAGTAGGCGGTGATGCACCCGCAGAAAAATGCCTCCGAGCGTTGCTCCTCCTCAACAGCGGCTGCGGCACTTGCCAGAAGAAGCTTCGCTTGCCATGGTTCCAAGCTACAACACGAAGACTCAAGTCAAAAAAGTCCCTGTCAAACGCCGAAGCAGACCCTTTACTTTGAACATCCACGTCCTATGAGGGCGCTGTAAGGATCATCTAGGATATGGGCACTGTAGAGATGCTCTGTAGGATGTGGTTTTGGGATACGACCCGAGCTGAGTCCAAGCCACCTCGATGAAGTCCAAGAGGTCCTTCCGCATGAGGCCTGTGCGCAAGGAGTCTTTGATCGCCTGTGCGTCATGTGCGTGTGAAGCAGGGAGACTCAGGGATGGAGAGCTTGGCTCGACACGTCTTGAAAGTGTTGTATACCTGACTACGACCTCTAGATCTGTGTGACTGACTCGGTGCTTTCTCAAGATTGTGGAAGACAACTCAACGGTTCTCCGGGAAGCAGGCTCCATTCCTGCAGGCCTCGCGGAGACGCCAAGGAGGGAGGGCAGACAGCTGCTTCAGCACACTGCGAGCCACCAGGAAGCTGATCACCGCAGCGAAGAGGTGGTGCTTCGTGACCAGCAAGGTGACGATGGTGTTGATGTCAAGCCCAACATCCAGCACCAGCAAGGCCAAGCCCTGCCACAGCCCGGCCCGCCAAGGCCACGAGAAACCGACCACCGGCCTGAGACTCTTGTGCACCGTGCAGAAATCTTGGGGGCGAGTGCTCTGAAGCAACTCTTTTACGGCCCAGCGCTTCACGTCCTCAGCAACTCTGCGCTTTCGAATCCGCGCTCGCAAGCTGGGCGCGCAGGAGCTCAGGACTGCGCAGAGCAGACAGAGCAAGTAGAAGCCCAGAAGGCCCAAATACGAGTGCCGAGCCAGATCAAAAAGACCAATTGCTGAAACACCGTCAGGGGCCCACTGGAAAAGCCAGTGCTGATGCAGCCGGTTGCCATCCCACGCATTGAACTTGCTCCGCGACCAGTCCACAAGGGCAGGATTCAGCAGCATGGAATCGGAGGCGCCCACCGTGGAATGTATGGAAAACAAGTACGCGTCGCCAAATGCCGAGAAGTATACTCCGCCACAAAGACACGTCAAGATCAGAGTGCGCAGGAAGCCGGCCACCTGGACAGTGGCTTCGGGAAACCGCAATTTCTAGTCGCTCACTGGTCTTGGAAATGTGGGTGCCAGTGTGGTCTCAAACCGTGCTAAGCCGACAAAGCTTAGAGGGCTGCAGGTGTTAGGGTTGAGGGCTTCATGCTTCAGGTTTAGGGCTTATGTAAGCTTCACGACAAGGGATAGGGCTTAAGGGTTCAAGTGCTTGCAGGACTGAGGGGTTTAGGGTTTGAAGTTCGGGGTTGGCTTCATCGCGACGTGGTGGCTGGTTGATGCCCTGGCGGTGATTACTTACACCCTCAAATAGAAACCCAAAGCCTACATTCGAAACCATAAAACCTGAAATCTACACCACAACAAACCCAAACCCAAAACACCAAAACACGAACCCTAACCCCAAACATCCCCAAACGACGAGCCCTAAGCCCCAAACCCCGTTTGAAAAAAACGAACTTGCTGCGCGTGGCGTCTGCCTCATTGACCCTCACTTGCTGTTGATCCTGATAAGCAACTCGGCCAGTTGCCCCCCGGAAATCCCAGAAATTCCTCCCAGAAAAAAGTTTCGCCAGGCCTTGTCTTTCATGGCCCGGCCCAGCCCTCCAAAGTGGCGCTTTCACTGACCCGCCTACAAGGAGGAGGAAAAGAAGCCTCCATAAAGGCCCATTTCCGCCATCAAAAACCCTGCTAGAATCGACATGAATGACGGTACCGGAATGCCTTACGCGAGCCTCTTCAGTGATCCACTATGAACGGCCTACATGGGCGTTTCGAAGGGGACCCGATTGCCCGAAACCTTTGTAAGAGCATGTCGCCGAGGTGGCTATAAACTGAATCTTCGGAAGTGAAGTCGTGTGTCTCTTCTTCGTAACACGTTCCCCTTGTTCAGAAGTTCTCATACGTGACAAAACCACAGGAGCTGAGCGAGCAAAGTTGGGCCTGTGAGGCTGTGTCGTTGGTCATGATGGCCTTCGCGGGGGCTTGGAGCAGACTCCCGACTCCGTAGTGCCTGGCTGCCGGGCCGACGTAGCAGAGGAGGACCACCGGCAGCCACCAGATCCAGCGAACCAGCAAGTTCGCGAACCCCAGCCACAAAATCGCAACTAAGACTTCGAGCCACCTCCACAGCCTGAGGAGCCACGCGTTCTTCGCAAAGGCTAGGCTCACCAGCTGCTTGGCACCCTGCTCGAAGGGGTCCTGCGCAGCCTCCTCCGCTGGCGCACCCAGCCGTGCACTTTGTCGCTTCTGCATCCACTTGGCTGCAAGAATCTCCAGACGAATGGCTACAACTGCCGCGCTGACAGCGGAGACCGATGCAACCCATGTGAGCCAGTCGGACAGGGTGTTGGCAATCACATCCTCGAACGTGATGCGGGATTGCAAGAACTCCTTCATGCCAAGATGAATGGCTCTCCCTTTTTCACAGGCAGTTCTCATGCCGGACAGACCAAACCCCACGATGAAAAGCGCGACCCCCAAAACCCACGGCCAGACCGGCGCCTGCGAGAGCGAAATGTCCACCTACAACGAGTGAGTGCAGTTTCGAGCACGGAATGCGCACGGGACGCCGGAGAAAGTACCGTCGCGAAGCCAAATGCCACGCTTCGAGACGTGCGGCGTGCTCACGGGACTTTCAGAAATGATGCCCGGCCAAGAATGTGCTAGTTATGCACTTCACGAGGAGCATGCAAGCAAAGAGCTCCGTGTCGAGCACGCAGATCCCCTTGTAAGGACACACGAAGCGAACCCATCCAACACCCCCAACAAGCAGGAGCGTACGTCCCATGTTTTCGCAACACGGAGCCACCCAAGCCTCAAAACGGTGCAATCTTGGGCGTTTATACGTAACCAGCCACCCTGGAATCCCGTAGTCAAAGCCCGCCTGTGGGTGAAAGCTGCGCGCCCGGGCGTTGAACAACTATCTCAACCTAACCCTCTTTACTCTTCACGTTAGAACCCCTTAGCAACCTTAGCGTTGCCAGGTTACTTGGGGAAAAACATTGAGAGAACGATCTATGATGTCATGAAGCCAGTCTCTTGTTGCCCGTCCTTGGCTTCGGGATCCTTCAGCCGGTCCACGAGTGCGCCAAAGATGTCAGCCCAACTGGGGCGCCCGCCACAGCCGTCAAGCCAGAATTGCACATCCGTCTTCGACAAATCCTCCGGCTTTGAGCACTGCAAGTCCACCGCAGCCTCCTTCCAGGCTTGGACTTCGGTCAGGTTGAGATTGCAAACTGTGTCGACCAGGAAGCGGCAGTCCACTTCAACTGTCAAGCCGTCTGTGTCAGCAGCACTTGCTTCGAGCCATTGCGCCATGAGGAGTTGGATGATCTGAACGTGGCGACCTCTGGCTGCGGAGTCCAAAGCAGAGGCGGCGTGACCTCTGGCTGCTATCTGCAAAGGAGTCTGGCCCCAGACGTCAGCAAGCTTGAGGCAATCAGGACATTGCTGGGCAAGGAAACGAACGATCTCGATGTTGTCACGATAGGCTGCTATGTGCAAAGGAGTCTCGCCCCAGGTGTCAGCAACCTTGAGGCAATCAGGACATTGCTGGGCAAGGAAACGAACGATCTCGGTGTAGCCATGTCTGGCTGCCATCAGCACAGGAGTCTCGCCCAAGACGTCAGCAAGCTTGAGGCCATCTGGCCATTGCTGGGCAAGGAAAATAACGATCTCGATGTTGCCACGACTGGCTGCTATGTGCAAAGGAGTCAGGCCGGAATCGTCCGCAAGCTTGAGGCCATCAGGCCATTGCTGGGCAAGGAAACGAACGATCTCGGTGTAGCCATCGGCTGCTACGTGCAAAGGAGTCTGGCCGCCATCGTCCGCAAGCTTGAGGCCGTCGGGCCATTGCTGGGCAAGGAAACGAACGATCTCGATGCTGTCACGACGGGCTGCTATGTGCAAAGGAGTCAAGCCCGAGTCGTCAGCAAGCTTGAGGCCATCAGGCCATTGCTGGGCAAGGAAACGAACGATCTCGATGTTGTCACGACTGGCTGCTATGTGCAAAGGAGTCCGGCCGTGGCCGTTAGCAAGCTTGAGGCCATCAGGCCATTGCTGGGCAAGGAAAAGAACGATCTCGGTGTTGCCACGACTGGCTGCTATGTGCAAAGGGGTCCGGCCGTCATCGTCCGCAAGCTTGAGGCCATCAGGCCATTGCTGGGCAAGGAAACGAACTATCTCGGCGTTGCCACGACTGGCTGCTATGTGCAAAGGAGTCTGGCCGCCATCGTCCGCAAGCTTGAGGCCGTCGGGCCATTGCTGGGCAAGGAAACGAACTATCTCGATGTTGTCACCACTGGCTGCTGCGTGGAAAGGAGTCCTGCCGTAGCCGTCAGCAAGCTTGAGGCAATCAGGACATTGCTGGGCAAGGAAAAGAACGATCTCGGTGTTGCCACGACTGGCTGCTATGTGCAAAGGAGTCCAGCCGTAGCCGTCAGCAAGCTTGAGGCAATCAGGACATTGCTGGGCAAGGAAAAGAACGATCTCGGTGTTGTTACTTTCGGCTGCTTCGTGCAAAGGAGTCCGGCCGTAATAGCCGTCAGCAAGCTTGAGTCCGTCGGGCCATTGCTGGGCAAGGAAACGAACTATCTCGATGTTGTCACCACTGGCTGCTGCGTGGAAAGGAGTCCTGCCGTAGCCGTCAGCAAGCTTGAGGCAATCAGGACATTGCTGGGCAAGGAAAAGAACGATCTCGGTGTAGCCACGACTGGCTGCTATGTGCAAAGGAGTCCAGCCGTAGCCGTCAGCAAGCTTGAGGCAATCAGGACATTGCTGGGCAAGGAAAAGAACGATCTCGGTGTTGTTACTTTCGGCTGCTTTGTGCAAAGGAGTCCGGCCGTAATAGCCGTCAGCAAGCTTGAGTCCGTCGGGCCACTGGTCTAACAGAAGCTTCACGAGCTCGATGCTGCCGTTGCGGCAAGCGAGGTGCAACGGCACATGGTCCCAACCGTCCGTGGCTTGCACACCCTCTGGCCAGGCAGTGAGTAGTAACCGCACGACAGCGACATCTCCCTGCAAGCTGGCTTCATGCAGCAGAGTGGACTTCTCCCCATACTCATCGAAGAACACCATGTCGTTGGCGCCAGTGAAGCTGCCACTGGCCAGAAGCCTGCCCGGGCGAATTTAAAGAGTTTCGGGCTTTTGGGGCCTGGGCTGATCAACAACAAGCCATAAGCCAGAACGTCTATTCGGTCTATCGCACATCGAAAACCCACCGCCACCACTATGCCAAGACCAAAAGCCCGTAGCCTCTGAACTGCATCTGCATCGCCGGCGCTCACGGCTGCAAAGAGCTCGTCCTTGGGCCCGGCTGACGCGGCCAAGCTGCAGAGCCATAGCACAGGCCAGCGATACATCTTTCCGGTACACTCTACTACCCTACGGACTCTAGACAATTTACATAATGATTACAACGTCTGAATGTCGCAGTTCGCAGCAAAAGGCCGGTGTGCCTCGAGCAGAAGGGCTTTGACACGAGGCGGGTGCCATTCCGAAGGTCTTACAGGTCCCATGGGGCCTGGGATTTGGGGGGGCCTTGCGGCGGCAAGGTGCTCCCGTACAATACCCCGAAGACGAGGTCGGAGCCGAACATTTCGTGCTGCGAGCGCTCCGCGTCTCGGCCTCGCGCTGATCCAAGCGAAGCGTATTCAGCCCAGGGCCAGTCGAGGTGTTTCGGATTTTCAGGTGATGGCCGCAAGCTAAGTTCCTTCAGGTTGGCGGCCGGAGTTCATGCTCTGGTTTGTTTAGATTTGGATGATTTGGAAGTCTTTGGGGCGTGGAAGCCTGCCCCAAAAGCCCGACGCCGCACTACGCCGCAATCACGCACAGCCCCGATGCGACATTTTCAGGAAAGCTCGGGACTTCAGTACGGCGCGCAGGGGGAGTCCCTTTCGAGCCTTGCTCCCCCCAAACTCCGAAAGCCCTCTAAAATTGAATGAACCCAAAATTGCCGAACCCTGTAGGCATTGCACATTTTCACAGTCGCAGGAAACATGCCTCGACAAGTGCTGAGTTCGAGCCCCCGACACTTTTTGTGGCAGCCCTAAACCCTAAACCCCTAAGCCCCAAACCATGACCCCTAAACACCTAAACACCTGAACCCTAAACCCCTAAAGCCTGAAACCTACTTAAAGCTCCTGAGGAGTCCGGAGGGAAACTGCCCGCATCTCGCCTTGAGCAGCAGGCGGACCACCTCCTGGTGGGCCTGAATGGATGTGAGAGATTCGGGGGAGGGCTCAGGCTTTAGGGAACGGGGTTGGAGGGGTTCCAGTGTTTAGCGTGGTTCAGAGTGCTTAGGGATTGGGGTTTGAAGTGTCGTAAAAGTGCACCATTTTGCTGGAGAAACAATCACTACACCATGAACCCCAAACCCTAAACCCAAAACGGCCCCCCCCCCCCCCCCCAACCCGCCAAGCCTAAAGACCAACATCCTGAGCCGGAAGCATGGCAACCCTGAATGAAGGCTTTTAGAGTTTCTGTCAGGCCCTAAACCCCCCCCCCCCCTAGAGCCCCAAAAGCCAAGGAAAACCCGAGCTGCCAACGCCCAGGCCTTCCATTCACGAGGTTTCCTCGGAGCTGGAGGGAAGGGTTTGGGGTTTGGGGTTTAGGGTTTGGGGTTTGGGGTTTGGGGTTTGGGGTTTGGGGTTTGGGGTTTGGGGTTTGGGGTTTGGGGTTTGGGGTTTGGGGTTTGGGGTTTGGGGTTTGGGGTTTGGGGCTTGGGGCTTGGGGCTTGGGGCTTAGGGTCTAGGGTTGAGGGAGTAATTCGGGTTTAGGGCTTAGGAAATAAGGTGTAGGGTTGACATCGGTTGGCAAGCTGATGTGTGCTATCCCCTTCGCAACCTTGGCCACATGAACCCACAATTGGGACAGCCCTAAGCCCGATTACTATGAGAACTTCTAAAGGTTCAGGTAGTCCTAAGTTCGCTGCCCGATGCCCCCAAGCCCTGGGGAGTGAAAACAAGATTGGTAACTCACCTTCTGTCCTAACAAAGGCCTCGCTGAAAGGCGTCCACCTGAATCGCCCTAACAAACCCTGCAGTCACATCACCCCCAAACCGCAACCAACAAAAACTCGAAACCTGCCTCCCCCGAAGACCGACATCACGTACAGACGGACCCAAATTACATGGTAAGCCTACAGACGTGAGCAAATGCAGCATGTTCGGGACTTCGGTGTGGAGAGACGGCTACCCCTGCAAGAAACGCCAAGCTGATGTCCCAAAGCTTGCAGTGAGAGCCCCCAAAAGGGTTGAAGGTCGGGTGTTGAACGGCTTCGGGCCCAAGGGTTGCTGAGGCCTTTCTCTGGGCCGATGGCTTCAAACCCCGAAGCCCCCACCTGGCCCTAAACCCCGACTGCCTGTGTCCAGTGCAGGCGCAAGCTGAGCGCCGACGCT